TGCTCACACGTCATCCGAAAGATGGCATATGCCAACACGAGTCACCGAAATATCCGCGGTTCGAATTATGCGTACCAAGTTTGCCCTTGAACTAATTGCGTCATTCGGAGCACGTATCTCGCGGTGACACGCGTTCGATTCTCTATGCAGACTGTCTTTTGTAGGATGTATAAGCAGTGTGACCCTAGCTAGTGGCGGTACACTTACGAGCCATAGCCCAGCTTGTCCGTCGCTGCGCTCATAGCACGGGACTACGCGTCTCGCGCATTGCCGCACCCCGTCCGAAGGTCGCGTACACTGCGCGGCCCTCTTAACGCAAACACGACTTCGACACTTTTTTTTTTTTGCATCGTACTTTGAAAGGGTACTGGCGGGCGTCAAATTCCAACCGAACACTTTCTACCGCTGGGTTAGTTTCGATGACAGTCCTTCGATAGTGTGAGAAAAGCAGACAAAGGTGGCGATGGCTGGTTCGCGCTAACAGCGTCGTGAAGTGTGCGTGACGCTCGCACGGCATTGACTGGTTTAGATGGTTCGTAGAGTCATACCGCGGTCTGTCGCGACGTCCAACGGAGTACGGGAGGGTGCGACTGGGAAGTTGGAACGGACTGAGCTGGTACAGGCTCGCATGGTGCTATCTATCGTCCAGGGATGGGCGGTATTTCAAATACAAGTATTTGAAATACGTATTTCAAATACTTTGTGTATTTTGCATTTGTATTTAATTACAAATCGGGTAATGTATTTGACGTTTAAATACTAAAACGTGGGTATTTTATATACGATTGTAATTAAATACAATTTTGTGGGCAAAAATACATCCTTCAAATTTATTGTCACTGTCCAGAGCAGGAAGAAAACTACGTTCTGAACCGAATGCAGTGTCTCTCAATCAAGCACAAGCCTTTAGTGACTTTGTGATTACGGTGCTAGTCCAGGGCAAGAATAGTGACGAAATCAACGTTCACAGGCAGACTGGCTAAATAAGTGCCTGTGACAACTTGTGATCCTTTCCAGCCGGATTTCCATCCATACTTTTGCCTTGGACATTCTGAATCCGCGGGTCATCCAGATTTTCGTAACTGGTGCGAGTTGCAACAATAAAAAATTCTCTAGCTAGTGCTGTGCGTCTTGGTCGTCTCGGTTCTTTGTGGGCCTATATCAAAATGTAATCGACAAAAAAAGCTGCTTGAAGCTCTGTACTTTTTTCACCTATTGCGTCCAAGCTGATGAAATTTTTTTGTGATTATATTTCTATTACGTTACTAGAGCCTCGCTCACTAACTCCCGAGAGTGCGACGGAAAATTAAAACGAAATACCCAGAAACCCGTTGCAGGTGCCCTGAAGTCGCTGACGCAAATTTTGAGGAATGTATTTGGAAAAGTATTTGGAGGAGACCAAATACATTTGGTTGTATTTGTATCTTGCATTTAAATGCTTTTTTGGAAATGTAATTAGATTTGTAATTAAATACATTTTTGACGAAGTATTTTGTATTTGTATTTCGATACATATTTGCATGTATTTTGCCCATCCCTGCTATCGTCGTACATGCAGAGAGCGACACGTTTCGTGCAACCGAGCGGTAGACGTCTTTCTTCATTTTCTCTTTTTCCCCTGTACACATTTTTATTTTGTATTCATCGCTAGGAAGAAATTTAAGCGGTAAAGCTTGGTGTTCGTCATTACCCTAATTAAAAGAGAGAGAAAAAAACGCCGCTATTGCGTTTGCTCTCTAAGTAGCGCAGTGTTCGGCATTCAATTATAATCGTTGCTTACGCAACTAAAATGTTTCGCGCTATACGCAACTAAAAAGTTTAATGGTCCAAGGGGAACGTTAATTAACATTACTAATCGACTATTACATTCGAGATACAATTATTGACGTAGATTTAGGTAGGACTGTGCCAATCCGTCGGAACGGATATGAGATTATCCCGCACTGGACTACCCCAACCTCGGTAAAGTCTTACACCTAGGAGGGGAACAAAAAGGAAAGAAAAGAAAACCTTTACAAATAAAAATTATGCTCCAGACCGTTTGTTTAGTTTGCAACTTCTCAGTTTGGACTTCGGTCCCAAACGGCGTGGGGAAATTCATCGTTCTGCTGAAACGTGCGTAAGTCGCCTTTCACCGCCACATGGAAGCAATGCGGCGAAGTGTTGAATGGAAGGAAGGAGGAAGTCAGTCAGTTTCGTCGCTTCGAAACGGTTGACGAGTTGCACAATTCGTGGAATGCAAATGATGATATGTACGTGGTCCTTTCTTGCATTAAGTTCGACGGTGTAATAGGCCCCTTTCAAAAGCTCCATCGTCCAGAAGCATTGGCGGCGGTCGCCATTTCTTGGGATCGAAACGAGTGATTGGTTTCGAGTCCACACCGAATGCCGACGTAGCTCTCCGGTCCGGTTCGGAATGCCTGCCCGAACCATGGCGGTAGATAGCGCGCACTTTTGAACAGGCTCGATTCCTGCTTCTCTCGAACGGCGGAAAATGACGTTCTGTTCTGACGGTCCTCGTTGCGATGCTTCGCGTGTAGAAGCAAAATGCGTCGCAGTTCGATCGTATAAAAGGACACAGAGGGATCGTGCTAATTGTTTTAGGGCTGGGCACTTGATCGATTAACCTACCGATTAATCGATTGACGCTTCAATCTAGATTAATTTCTTTAACTCGTTGATCGGTTAAACTTTTGACAAGGAAGAAAAAAAATGTAAACATTCAACTTTCTCGTCACGCAGACGTGGACGAGCACAGATATATGAAGGCAAACCCTTGGTAAAATTTTGATCTAGAGTAAACTGTAGATTCAAGATTTGTTACTGCAAACAAGTGGAGAACGTTATACGTGTCCCAGCCGCTCCAATGCCGTGCGAGTATCCGTTTAGTGCAGCACAGACTATTGTGAACAATCAAAGAAGTTAACTATTGTTGGATCAACGAAGCTCTTTGCCTCAGCGGCTGGGGTAAGAATTGGTGTGTGTGGTTGTCTTTTGACTATCTCAACAAAACACAAACGATGATTTAAAATCCGAAATTGTACATTGCGACACTTATCACATATTCAGCAAAAGGAAAGAAGAAATGTAATTTCGACTTTTTTATTGTGCATTGGAATGAACGCAACCGATTAATCGATGAAGTAATCGATTATAGGGTGGCGATTAAATGGGTTAATAGTTTTAATCGACGCCCAGCCCTACTAGTAATTTAATCAAAATACGTGACAATGCCTATTTGTGACGCAAAACGTGAACGTTTTGCTGTCTCAATCCAGTTTTCGGGCAATCAATGCATTTCTTTTTATTCTGTAAAAAAAAAAAAATAATAATTTTGACAGCGATGTTTACGATATATCCCAAAATTTTAGACGGGCTCCCAGACCTCGTCAGGCTGCTGTTAGTTGATTTTAACCTAGGTGACTCTTCCAGTGCAGCGTACAAATAGAAAAATAAAGACTTGAACTAGAATTGTAACCCCCCCCCCTTCCCCCCCCCCCCTCCCCCCCCCCCCCCCCCCGGGACCTCAGACCAGGAAGCGATAACTTTTCATCGGCAAGGTCACTGACGTACAATACGTGTGTACATTTTTTTTTTATTACTGTGCATTGTATGATGCGAGGCTAATTCTATTTCAGCTCTTACGAAAACGCGAAACGTTCGTTTGACACGTTGGATTCAGCTGCACCAGCCCTCACCGGATCAAGGATCGAAGTGTAGCTCGGTGCCGACAAACGCGGGGGTCGGTGAACTTCCGCTGCACGTTTTAATGATAGATGAGCTCGTAAACTGAATGAGGTGCTGTGCAGCCCACTGTACACTGTACTAATGACACATGCCTCTGGATCGAATGATTGACGGACAGAGCGCGACGCCTTGAGTGTGTCGCGCTCTGTCCGTCAATCCTTCGATCCAGAGGCGTGTGGCATTTTATATATATATATATATATATATATATATATATATATATATATATATATATAATATAATGACACACACACACATAAATGTATATATATACATATATATCCGTGTGGGTGCGTGTGTAATATTGATTTGTGAACGAGACTGATTAATCAATTAATTAATCGACTAAATAATGACGATTACTCAGGTTATAATTTTTAATCGACGCCCAGTCCTATAACAGCGCCAGAAATACGCGCCCACCGAGTTGAGAAAAAATAAACAGACGGAGCCTTGTGTTTGCTTTAGCTCCTCTTGGTACTTGCGTATTTTCGGCGCTTTTAAGTCTTCAAATATTAACCAACTAGACCAAATAACAGCATTACTTCTCGCTGAGGCTTTCGTATTTCGAAGAGTAGTACAGTTGCTGACAACGCTATAACTCCCCGCGTGTTTTTTTTTTTTTTTTTTTTTTTTAATGCAATAGCATATTTGTATTCAGGAAACTGTGAAATGCTGTGCGTCGGTCCATCGAGGTTTGATAGCTAAACTTAGCGGGAGAGCATAAACGGTGGTACCAATTCAATTTCTCCGCTAAATGTAGAGGGAAGCTTTAGAAACCGGGGATTGGTGTTTAATATCATCCATCCATCCAAGTTCGGAAGAACTGACACGAAAACGGTGCTCCACCGAGCTAGACCAAGAGTGCCGGACTCAACGGACGTCTGAAGAGGTGCAAAGGATCCCAAATGCTCCACATCATATCTCCTTAAACAAAACAAAAAAACAAAAAAGGCGTCGCTTTTTTTTTATGGAAGGTTTTCGGAGTTTTTAACGGAATTTTATAATCCGTAATTTCTTTTCCGTCTGTCCGTGCGATTCCCCGCTAAATGTAGCGAGAAAGTGGTTAAATATGTATGTTCTCCTTCACACCCGAAACGACCGCTTAATACCTTGGAACAAATCGAAACGGTCTGCTCCTTAAATAGCACGGCTTTCCACGCGATTATGTGACTTCCGAGAAAACGTTAGCTGCCTGTTTTTGTTTCTCGTAAAGAGTACTAGCGGACAAAGGAAAAGCTTTAGCGACGTACCGAGGATCTTGCTGACGGCGTTCTGCGAGGAGAGCAGGTGCCGGGCGAAGTCGTACGGCCGCAGCGAGTACGGCGTCAGGTCGGGGAGCACCCGGCCGGGACCCATGGAGTCGCCGCCCAGTCGAGACGTGGCCAGGTACACAGGGCCTAGGGCTGCCGCCGCAGACGCCGCACCGCCGCCTGCACCCGAGGGGGGAGAACACGCGCATGAGTATACGCGTATACCACAAGCTATCCTCTTTCAATCAACCACAATGTCGCGAAATCATCGTGTTCGAAAGGCTCAAATCACCCGCTAAAAACAAAAACAATTGAGAGTTTTAGAGTAAGGGTTTGTGCGGCCTCCTATTCTAGAATTCACGAATATCTGCGTCTCCGCAGATAATCATGTCGTCATGTCTGCGGAGAAACTCCATGTCTTTCGTATAAGCACTGTGACCTTGTTTAACGCGGTAAGCACGTTATAATCGAAAGTATGATTTAAGAATAGTGACAATCTTCTTTAGTTAAAAAAAAAAAACAAAAAAAACATAATGTTAATGTTCGAACGCATATTGCTCGCTATAATTAAAAAAAAAAAACTTTCAGCTCTGTACAATGGAAAGTAATGACCGGCCGAAAGTTGGCAAGCCAGAGTGGAAGGGCTGCCGCCATCTATGAGCGATGGCGGCAACCAGATACGTGGCTTGCCGCCGTCGCTCATAGATGGCGGTAGGTGTCCAAAGTTCGGTGTCTTCATTTCTTTGCGGGGAACACGACCCTGGGAAAACTAGCCCTTAACAGCTCCGCTGTAAAAAACAGGAATTTTGTGTCGCCACTTTAACGAGGCACTCCAGAGACCGCAGTTGTAAAAGCGTCCCGTCTCTTTCTCGACACTTTCTCGACACAACAAGTCATCGTCGGTTGTCTTTGTTTTGTCCGTCCGTATTGGAGGACTGTCATAAAAGATACTATAGTGGTGGAAAGTGCTCAGCTGGGATACTAACCTAACTGGTAAACTTTGATGCCCGCCAGTCACCTTTCCAAGTAAAATGCGCAGAAGCGCCGAAGTCGTATTTGCGCTAACGGTGTCGCGCGGTGTACTAACCACACAATAGGAATCGAAGCAGCCCTCCGTGCTTGTCCGCATTACCCGTGAGTCTTTGAAGAAGCTCTGGTCCAAGCACGCCTTGGAACGTCAAACTCAGGTGCCAATCTTTCAACTCTTTGACGGTTGGAGAGATAATAGAGCTTGTGGGAAAAGTGAGCGTAGCAAGAGCCCAGATCGAGTGTTTAAGCTAATGATTTTCGGGTATGTACATCCACGCGATTGAAAGCAACGTCCCTCGAAGACCAAGGCGCAGACCGGCGACACCGAGCGCGCGCGGTCCTGCGTGTTAACCTTGCGCGCACAAAACACCCAGACAGGTCGGGCGACAGGCCCGCAGAACGCGGGCAGGCAGGCATTTTCCCGCCCCCTCGTCCCGCCGGCGAGAGCCGTTTGCCTCCGGAGGCCGGAAGCCGCGAACGATCGGAGGGGGGGCAGTCCCGGTGTTCGAGTGGCGCGGTCAACTCCTCCGGAAACGGCTCATCTCTCGCCTTTTCAATTTGCGTCGGCGGTCAGCTGTCGCCGCGACGCCGAGAGCGAAAAAGTGGCGCTCCCCGAGCCTGTGTTTAGTTACGCTTGAGGGTCGCTGGTCGCTCGCCGCCGCCGCAGAGCGCCTCTCCTCGGAGCGAGTGCGACGGCGGCAGCGACACCGATACTGCAGGTGGGGGGACCACGCTGTTTGCCCTTGCGGGGCGTCCGCTGGGGACAGGAAAGCGCACCCCTCTGTCCCCCCCCCCCCCCCCTCCCCAAGGTACAGGGCTCATCTCACTGCCAGCGTGTCTGTGTGTGCCCCTAGTGACGCCCCCCTCCCCCCTTTCCCCTTCCTCGGTATACTTTTGTCCCGCTTGAAGCGTGACCATTCCACTCGGATACAATCTTCAGAGTTCAGTGTCTGACGACGGGACTGGAAAAAATCGAGGCGGAGGGAATTCAATTGCTAGATACTCGGTGTAGGTGCTCGCCGTTCCGGGGTTTTTCCCACCGGCGGGAGCCCGTGCTTGTGTCGTATGGTGGGAAATATTTTGATGCGCGATATAGAGGGTGTCCCCGAAAAAAAAAATTTACGGTGCTTTTTTACCGCAAAAATAAACTGTGGATCGCCGAAAGCCCATTCTTTTTCTGAAGGTGGTGCTAAAGGCGTAAACTAGATGCCAAAGTTTCACCACGAACCGATATCTTATTCAAAAGGTATAAGCGATGTTCTAAAAAGTTTCAATGGGAAAATGGGGCCCACTTTAGCCCGTTTTCGGTTTCTGGCGCCATAGAGCTCCATGCATGCGAAAAGCTTCGTTGGCCGTCATATTCCTATTGAAAGTCTTAGAAAATCCCTTATAGCTTTTGAATAGCACATTGGTTTGTGCTGAGACTTCGGCATCTGATGCGGACCTCTAGCGCTTCCTTTGGTCGCAGAAGGAGCGTTCGGTGAAGCGTAGTTTATTTTTGTAATAAAAAAGAACTGTAAATTCTTTTCCGGGACACCTTGTACATGCGGGTAAAAATATGTAACGCTGAAAAAATATATATCGGTCCAGTTGAGGATGAAGTTGAATTCAGTAGGGAGAGGTGCGACGCTTTTTGAGACATCGGATTAACGAAATACTCGGAACAAGGCGTTCGTATGCATAACTAATTACTTCAATACCCGACAACAACAATCTTGCGCTTCGTTGTTAAGGCTAGCATATAGCATCCGCAGTGTCCCAACGCGTTTTCTTCCCATAAGAACGACAACGGCAAAGCAATGAAGCACAAATACAAACCTAAGCTAGTGACACCACGACTTTCTTCACCTTACGATAGAGCAGCTCCGATGTACAGCCTCTGTCGGTTATAGAAAATGTCTCTTTGGCGCCGACGTCGTGCCGCAAAGCCCCTATAACGAAGAGAAGCTAGCAGGGTTGTGCGAGTATTCGAAATTTCGAATAGCAGTTCTGAATAATACACTATTCGATATTCGCTTCGAGAAGAACTGCACTATTCGCGTTTTTCGAAGTGTTGAATGCGGCGGGTTAGCCCCGTTGAGTGCGCTTCTTACCAAGCACCGGTGCGCTGCGGACAAGCAATACCCGCGGAAGCGAGCTCCGCGGGTGTTGCTTGTCTGCATTACATCGGTGCTCGGTAAGAAGCGCACTCAACGAGTAACCCGCCGCGATAAACAAGTGAAAAAGTATGAATATCGTAATTGCGTGCTTGGAAGTAAAGCATACATTCAAAGTGGGATGGTGCACCCGTGCCGACTGTATTGGAAAATAAATAAAAACTTTGTGAATCTGTATATCTACGATGTAGTAAAAGTTTCAAAATTAAACTGTTATGCCTATGTTAGGCAGAGATGTCGTTATAACCTGCGTTCATAATGCGCGATTCGTTTTTTTTAAACTCGAGATTAAAGAAGCAATATTTTATAGAGCAATATTTGTAGATTCACTCAATTGGGTATAGTTGTCCAACTTTATAGGATTTATTTTATGTCAAATCCGCCGTTTACTTGCCATCCCCAGACACCAGACCTTCTGAGGTCACACTTCATAAATATAGAGAGATTAAACTTAGCTATTAATACACAAGTGGAAAAACTTTCACAGGTTTTGCTGGGTTTTTGTCTAAGCATTATGATATGGTAGTGAAAGCACCTAAGAAACACACACAAAAAAAAACAAGAACGAGGAGGTAAACAGACAAGAGCGCTCTGTCCTCATCCTTGTGTTTTTCTGGCGCTTTTTTAGATGATCATGAACCAACTGGCCCAAATTGCTACCTTATGGTAATGAAAGGCGTGGGAAAACTATTTGATATTCGAATCGAAAATATTCGGCCAAAACCACTATTCGCTTCGAACTCAAAATTCACTATTCGCACAAGACTACAAGCTAGCTCAATCTGAGTGTATAGGTTCGTTGTCGTTTTCTCTTTTGCAGATAATATGTTACTCAATGTTTTGCCATCACAAGTTAGTTCAAGACATCGCAGACAGTTAAGAAAAGTTTAAAATAAAGAAATAAAAGATATTTTTATTATTATTGACGCGCAATTTCTTTGCATTCGGATAAATCCGCCGCGTTTCTGAGTTAATAACAGAACTACAATATTGGCTCCAAATGTCTTTTTTTATATATTCGTAAAATACATTTAAAATGAATATTTGAATGCATCTTGCACCATTGTATATAGAGCTTTTTTTTTCGTTTTGGTAAATAATTTGTGAATGTGTCTCTAAAACGTGTTTATTCACCGATTTCGTAGCTTCTTCGGATATATTTTTTTATTTTAGTCTTTTAAATATATTGTGTGTGCATGTTGTACACCTTTTATAAAATAAATAGAAACAATTATTACCAGGTGCATGCCTCCGTGTCAAATTGACGGCTGCGCAAAATACCTTAGTGGATCCTTTTAGCGATCTCAACGCCTCGAGATTCGAAATTTTATACCTTCGGAAGGAAACCCGCTATGGCGTTCAAATGTACAACTGAATGCTTCTCCAGAAAGCATGCCTTTCCCATTTATGTATTTTTCATAAATATATATAAAAAAAGATGACACGAACCTTCATTGTACGATTTGACGAGGACACCCTGCAGAATCCACCCTACAATACAGTACTCAAGTAATCACGAAGACGTTCCCTATATCCGTCTCAGGGCGTTCTTGGAGGCAACAGAAAAACACCCGATTCACCAGATATGGAGAATTTCGGATCTATAAGGGTCCTCGAATTCACGATGCAGAAAGCGAATCGCGTGCATACCAACCACGCCTATGCATGTTCATGCAGTCTGTGCAACAGAAGTTGGAAGATCAGCGGCCACGACCAAGATTGAGATAGTTCCCATTACCGCTCAATGAAAACAACCTATATTATCGATAGGTAAAAGAAAAGAAAAAGATACTTGTCAGGTGGCAAGTTGCGGCCTCATGAGCCCCAGTCACTCCTCGGCAATTATTCTGCAGCCAAGACGATAATGAAGACAGATGCAAGAAAGCCCAGCGGCCCGACAAGTCGCAGAAACACGCCCTCCCGCGTGGGAAAAGGGTAGCGCCGAGGGAAAAAGCGCTCTCGCGCTCACCGAGCACGACGGCGACGCAACTGTGT